TCATTTACCAGTTATGAAGAACAATGTCTTGTTGTTTGAGCCTGTGGCACTCCTAATAAGTATTTAATTACATAGGTTTATTCCTATACCACTCTTAGGCTTTTAAGGACTATAAAAAAAAACCCTTTTTTTAAGAAAAAAATGTTAATTGATAGGTAGAATATGTCGATACAGATTGTACCTCACTCTGTTGGGGGGGGTGCTTAAATGCCTGTACCTTCTTGCTAACAGAAGGGCACAGCTGTGTAATTGTTTTAATTAGTAACTACATGGCCGATTGACATCTAGCTCAGTCAGTGAATTAGCCTTTTCTGGAGTTGAGGAAGGGAACTATGAGTGTATTTCATGTACCCTTAATGTCCTATTCATTAAATGAGTGGAGGCTCTATAGGAAACAGCTGATGAGATTTGCACATGGATGGTAGGAAGCAGTGAACTTGGTGTGGAGACTTAAAATTTTTTAAACTCCTACTTAAAGTCCAAGCATGTGACATCTTCAGAAGAAATAAGGAAAAGCTTTAGAAAATAGATCAGTCCAATCAGCAGTGGAACATGTGGCAGCCTTGTTTAACCTGAATAGCTTCTCTTCTTTTTCTAGCAAGGGGCAAGTTGCCAAGCACAAGGACTAAATAAATAGGCTTAATCTAATTGGGTCTGTAGAGGAGAAAACACTTGGCCTGTTCTATTATGAAAAAGACATGCACAGAGTCAGCATTCCTTGAGCAGTTAAAGCACCATTACATGTAACACAAAATCTGTTTTCTTGGAAATGCAATAATGGACACAGGATTGGTTCAAGTGGTCTAGAAATTTAGACTTGTGACTTCCAGATTTACCCTATGCATGTAGCATTTAAACAAAGATTAGTTTCTCCCTATATCTCACAAGAACTTTTATTATTTATAATTTGTATTATTTACCTGTCCCCCTACTCCCTTCTAACCTTTTTATTTTGCTTTTTTTGTGGATATTTTACAACTAGAATAGGATGCGATGGAAGGAGTGGGATGGGACCTATTACAGAATTTCAGAACATGAAAGGACCTCAGCAGCTATCCAGTCTTACCCATCCCTGAAAAGTGACCCCAATACAGCATGGTCTTCTAGCATTTGTTTGAAGGAAGAGAAGGGAAACATGGCTCCTTCCAACGCAGCCGTTCTACTTGTGCATAGCCATCAGAGGAAGATGTTCTTGACATCCAACCTAAGGGTGCCTCTTTGCAAGACCCCCACGTCTTCTTTTCTTTCTCCAAGCTAAGCATCCCCAGCTCTTTCAGTTCTTACGACCAGGACTTACATGGCATAGAATTGGAACTTCCATGTAGAAGTTTGGAGCCTGGATATTATTAGCTCCAGCTCTATCATGTTAGATGTATGCCTTTGTATTAACTTCTCTAAGACTATATTGTTGTTCAGTCATTTCAGTCATGTCCAATTCTTCATGACCCTATTTGGGGTCTCCTTCTCCAGCTCATTTTACAGATGAGGAAACTGAGGCAAGCAGGTTTAAATGATTTGCCCAGGGTCACACAACTACTAATATCTAAGACTGGATTTGAACTCAGGTCTTCCCGGACCCTAGGCCTAACACTGTCTCCACTGTGCCACCTAATGTTGCCCCTGGGCTGTCTATACAAATGTAAAATGAGGGAGTTGAACTAGATATCTGCAAGGACCTTTCCAGTGTTCTATAATCCTGTAATATTATTTAGTAGTCAGTCTCAGCCCCTTGTACTCAGCTTCCATTATTCAAGTGAAACTTTCGCTCCAAAGTCGTTCTTCATCCTTTGCAGTCTTTCTGCAACAGTTAACATTATTGACCACACCTCCCCTCTGAAAATTCTTTCTTCCCTTGAGTGCCGTGACACTACTTAGAGTTCTTTTCCTACTTGTTTGACCTTTTCTTCTTGGTCTACTTTTGTGGTTCATCTTCTTCTTCCTGGCTCACTAAAAGTCCTTATCCCTTTGTGACTTTTTCTTTACTGTCTCTTTAGATAATCTCATAAATTCCCATGACTTCAGATGTCACATCAATGGAAATGACTCCCAAATCAGTTTGTCTAGTCTGTTTCTTTCCTGATCTTCTGTGTTGCATCTCCCATTGTCTGTTGGACTTTTCCTTCTGCAGAAGTCCTGCCAGCTCCTCAAAAACTTGTCCCACCTAAACTGGTCCTTACTCACAACTTCTCTATTGCTGTTGAAGAGACCATTGTCTTCGCAGTCACCTAGGTTGAAATTTAGGCCCTCAGTCATATCATCATCATCATCATCACCATCATCAAGGTTTTACAAAGCACTGTGTACCATGTGCTATGCTAAACATTGTGAATACAAAAGAAAAAGTGAAACATTCTCTACCTTCAAGGACCCAATGGCGAGGTAGACCACATGTACATATATAGGTAGATACAAGATAGATACAAAGTAGATGTAAATACAAGGTAAATTTAGAGGGGAAAGCACTAGCAGCCAAGGGTGGAGCTAGAGGTGAGGATGAAAATGTTTCTTGCAGAAGGTGGTATTTGAGTAGAGTTCTTGAGGGCCAGGGATTCTTAGAGCCAGAGGTGAGAAGGGAGAACATTTCAGAACAGCCAGTGAAAAGGCATAGAGATTGGAATAGTATGTCAGTATGGCTGAACTGTGGAGTATAAGGAAGGGAGTAACATGTAAGAAGACTGGTCACAAAGGAAGGAGCCAGATTGTGAAGAACTTTAAATGACAAACAGTTGAGTTTATATTTGATCCGAGAAGTAATATGGAACTACTGGAGTTTATTGAAGAAGGGTGTAGGGATAACTTGTCCAGACCCCTGCTTTAGAAAATTCACTTTTCTAATTGTATGGGGAATGGATGAGTGTGGAAAGAAGCTTGGAAACCAGTTAGGCTGTTGCACATAATTCAGGCAAGAGGTGATGAAGGCCTAGATTGGTGGTGGCGTTGCGTGCAGAAAAAAGGGCATATATGAGAGAAGTAGAAATGATAATATTTCAGATTGTGTCTTGGACGTGTGGAGGCAGTGAGAGTGAAAAATTGAGGATTACACTAAGCTTGTGAATCTGGATGAGTAGACGAATAATTGTACCTTCTATTATGGAAATGTCTAACAACCAGCTTGTGGCCTGCATGGGGTCCACACCACAGTTCCTGAATGGGGCCAAACCAGATTAAAATGTAATAACAAAATAAATAAAAATATAGTAAAACATAGATAAGATTACATTTTGAAACTAAGTCAATTTGTAGCCCTCAGGGATCCTTATGGGTAGATTATTTGCCCCCATTTCTTGACATCACTGTTCTATAGTAATAGGGAAGTTTAGAAGAAGGGTGAGTTTTGGGAAAAGATGACCAGTTGTGTTTTGAACGTGTTGAAATTGAGATGCTTATGAGCCCTCTACTTTGAAATGTCCAATATGTGTGTATGTGTTTGTTCATTCCATTTACATTGTTGTTGTAATTGTACAAATTATTTTCCTGGTTACTTTGCTTTGCATCATTTGTGAGGGATGATTCTTTGGGTGGGGAAGAGGAATGTATTTTGGAATGAAGGTGATGTAAAGATAAGAGATAGCAATAAACATTTAAAATGTTACTTTTAAAAATAGCCTAATAAGTTATAGAATCACACTGAAAATTTGTAGATGTTTTTAAAATCACATATTTAAAGGGAAAATGTTCCGATAAAACTTTGAGATATTTCCAAAATAACATTGCCAACTGAAGTAATAGTCCTAAATATGTAATCAAATGTACTATAAAAAAGAGAAAATTTTGATAAATCTTACACATTTAATGATTTTTCTCTTCCGAGTCATGTGGAAGGAGTTTCAACCAGCCATCAGCCAAAACAGTAAATATTCAGTGAGAAATTTAGAACATGGTTTTTAAAATTCATTGTTCACAGGGACCTTCTCTCATAGGTGCCATCTAATGACCCTAGATCTTTTATTTCTTATAAATGATGACACTGAAAAGAATACTGGACTGGGAGTCTGGAGATTTGGATTCTAGTGACAGTTTTGCCATAACCTCAGACAGATCTCTTCACTTATGTGGACCTCAGTTTTCCTCATTTTTAAAATGAAGGTGCTAGCTCAGGTGATCCTCTTTGGGTCTCTTTAGCTTCAAAAACATCATTGCATTTGCCATTTGAGATGTACAGACTAACTGCTTTAGGTGTGAAGAGGAAGGAGGAATCACTTCTGGCCATTATGATCTGGAAAGACTTCATGAAAAAAGCGGCATTTCAATTGACTGTTGAAGGATAGGTGAATATAAGAGAGGAGAGAGGACATAGTAGTTCCCCAGACATGATATTTCATCTCCCATCTCCCACATACTATCTCTTGTTGGTTGCTGCACCCTGTGCCCAGCAATGCATGCCATCCTCACCTTCACCTTTTGTTGAACTAATTTCCTGTAAGGTTAACTCAGGAGTCTATATAGAAACTTTTCCCTTACCCAGCAATTACAAGTTGCCTTGTGTTTACTTTTCTGGGACAAAATGTAAGCTTCTTGAAGGCAATGACTGTTTTGATTTTGTCCACATACAGTGCCCAGCGCAATGCCTTATACATGTTAGGGGTTTAATAAATGTTTGATGAGTTGCATTCAGTTTAATCCATAAGTGGTAGAGAGCCATTGAAGGTTTTGGAGCGAATTGAGGGATGTGATCCAAATGGTGCTTTGAAAAGATTAATCCAGTGCCAGCATGTAAGATAGATTGAAGAGGGAGGAGGAGCCTGAAGTTAAGGAGGAGCATTGCGATAGCCCTGGCGTTCTGTGACGAGAGATTGAGCCAGCTTAGCCTCAGCTTCAGGGAGAAGGGAAGAGTCATCAGCATGTGGTAAGAGGGTGAGTGCTGGAAGAGAGGAAGAGGTGAAAATCACTGAAGAGATTTCGAGTCTTAAGTGACTGGAGACAATTAACCAAAGTACTTGTTTCCGTAAGAGTTCTTTTCCCTGGCCTAATACTTACTAACATTTTCCTTCTCTTTCCAGTACCTAGGCCATGTGGAAGTTGACGAATCAAGAGGAATGCACATTTGTGAAGATGCTGTGAAGAGACTGAAAGCTGTATGTATATTTGTTTGTCAGCATGTCGGTCCGTATGCTGTTGTTTGTTTGTCTAAAAACTGTTACCCAAATAACTAAAGCAATCCAGTGTCCTACTTAATAATGAGCCCTTGTTTCCTTTAAGGAAAAATGTGGGTTTGCTAATACAGACCACCTATGGTGGTCACTGATCCACACTGCAGCCTCTTGATTTGACAAACATTCCAGTGGAAAAAAAAATTATTTTTTTTTTCAGTCCATGCTGCATTCTTGGAACCAAAATTTTTGAATTTTTTAGAGTAAGTCAAGTGGGGCAGCTCAGTGGTGCAGCAGTTAGAGCACTGGCCCTGGAGTCAGTAGGACCTGAGTTCAAATGCGACCTCTGACACTGTGTGACCCTGGGCAAGTCACTTAACCCCAATTTCCTTCAAAAAAAAAAAAAACAAACCAAAAAACAAAGTAATTCAGGAAACATTTCTTGAGTGCCTGCTGTTTTGTAGGCATGGTAAATGAGGTACATTAGTATTTGAGGAGAGACATGATGGCTTAGCAGAGAATGAGCAGAGGATAGAGATGGAGCCAGCCTTGAAATCAGGAAGGTTAGGGATTTGAGTCCCACTTCTGACTGTGTGACTTTTGGCTGTGTGGCCCTAGGCAAGACATTTAACCTCCCGGTGTCCCTGGAAGCTCTAAAACAGTAAGCTGCAAAATACTTGCTGATCAGTTTTGGTGTGATGAAACACTCCTCATGGGGAGTCCTGTGTACCAAGGAAGTCACAGACTAGTTGAGAGGCTGCCTCACCTGCCAGAAAAAGTCCTCCATCAGGGTTTAAATCCCCAGCTGTGTTGCCTTCTGCTTGTATGTCCTTCAGCAAGCCCCTTCCCTTCTCTAGCCTATTTCCTTGTGTGTAAAAGGAGAGAATTGGACTAGATGTCCTCCAAAGTCCTTCTACTTCTGGATTCGTGATCCTATTTTAAAGTCCCTTCCAGCTTTAAATCGTCTGACCCTATAGATACTCCAATTAGAGAACATATATTTCAGAACAAGGTGAAAATCCACCCCATTTTTATCCACATCTCTACTTCCAGAGAGAGTGTGTGTGTGTGTATACACAGACATATACATGTGTGTATATACACATGTATGTGTGTGTACACAAAGATATACTTTTCCTAGGTCTTCCCCAATATAACTCAACTCAACACTCTAAACTCCACTACCTTTTTATATACAAAATGGAAGACCCTTTTCTAGAATGGACTATTCATTTTGCCTGAATTTCATGTTGGACGTGTATGAGTTTATTTGAGAAAAGTTTTTTTTGGGGGGGGGTTCTGTTTTGTTTAAAAAAAATAGTAAGCAACATAGGTTCTGAATTCTATGGAGTTTAGATAAAACTTTGAATTTTCTATTATTGGATAGATAAGAAGATTGTTGAATCATCTGATACCTGTTTCCCTCTGGGTTGAATGAATTACTCCCTTTCTCCAACATGCTCTTTAACTGTTACTGCACAAGCTTACTTCTGCATGCCAAATTTATCCTTATCCCGAAGAGCATTAAAGACCTATTGCTTTGGGTTTGTCAATGAAAGGCTGCCATTGGGATGGCTTCTAATGACTGCTTTTTCTAATAGTGCTTAGTAATTCAAACTTTTCTTCTAAAATGCATTCTGGATAATATTTTGTCTAAATCTGCGAGTATCATTGGGATAGAATATGGAGGAAGCAATCAACTCAGAGAGGTTAGGGAAGACATGGTATGTAAAAGAACTCAGATTGTTATAATCAATGGTACAATTAGGAGGAAAGGAACGCCCTTAAAATAATACATTGTGGTAGCTAAAAAACTGTATTGCCATCTATACATTTGCTTTTTTTACTTCTTTCCACCCTCCCAACAGTGGATACTTAATCCTTGTATACTTTTGGTTGATAGATGCTCTTCTATGTCTATTTGCATAGCAGACTACTTTAAAATTAACCAGTATGTGCAATATATCATAGGGTCATTTTGAAGGGATCATTGTCAAAGTCTGCTTACAAAGTGCTTTGCTATTCCACACATTTATACACCTGTACACCTAATTAGTAACATCTAGTGTTTCCCTCATTATCATGGAGAAAGCCTAGACTCTGGGGCAGCTAGGTGGCGAAGTGGATAGAGCACTGGCCCTAGATTCAGGAGGACCTGAGTTAAAATCTGGCCTCAGACACACAACACTTAGTAGCTGTATGGCCCTGGGCAAGTCACTTAACCCCCCATTCTCCCAAAAACCAAAAAAAAAAAAAAGAAAGAAAGAAAGAAACAAGCCTAGACTCACGGTTACTTTCTCTATAACTCTCAAGGTCTTGGTACTTCATTAGGTGAGAAAGCAGACTTGAGATTTGCTCATGGCCTCTTTCAGGCTACTCTGGGAGCTGTACAAAAGAACTGTCACAAGAGGTGAACTTACCCCCAAAAAAAACAAAAAACAAAAAACCTACCCGCGTTCTATTCGTCTTTTAGTTCTTCCAAAGTTGAAAATATCAAGTCTGACTGCTAAGGAGAAAACAAAACAAAAAACCTCTCTCTCTTCTAAAGTCACAGGACCCAGAATGAGCTGTTCTGGGACAGGTGAGTGCAGACGACTGGAAAGGGAGATGGCCTGCAAAAGTCCCACCCCAGATACTTAACAACAACAACAATCAACCTGTTTAGCAGAAACTGATAAATACACAACAAGGCGAGACAAGTGAAAATGAAGAACAGTGGGGAAAAAATACAATTAACCAGTATGAAATTTTTTTTTAAAGTGTCTACAATTTTAAAGAGTTTATAGAGGTTACCTAATGGCAACTTTTTCCACATTCCATCAGTTTTCTACTCATGATAATAGGGCTTATTTCTGCTGTTTTAGCACATGCATCTGTGGTCTATAGATGTCCTGTGAATGCACTCACCAATTAAGCATCACCTAAGAATTTCATTTTTCAATCTGCTTCAACTGGTTAAGAGCAGGAATAAGAACTCCTTCTGTTTTTGATCATTAGTTCTCCTGAAAAATTACGGGAAAAATTTGAAGCATTGATAATACATTGGATAGTTTAAAAATTAGCTAAATGTTAAGGCTGTTACTGAAATTTCATTGCCAGAGAAAAAGGCATATATGGTTTTTTGAAATCCAGATGTTGCTTATGTTCACTCCTAGTACTGATAAAAACTAGAGGTTGACTTTGCTAAGGTGTGCAGTTTCAGTCTACTGTTTTTATTTAAATTGGAAAAGGGAAAAAGCAATAAAACCTTCTTTATATACACCTCCAGGTCAGTATACTAAAACTTACATACTATCCAATGGGGAGCAAGAGGGTGTCACATTTTTTTATATTATCGAGACCTAAAAGTTCCAAGGATCACAAAGAATGATTTTGAAATTTGTCAGAGAATACTTGACAATAGTGCTTGAGTAGTTTAATGCACCATCTCAGAGAAACTCAAAGCAAGCACATTGCTTTTCTAGTCAGAGCTTTACCATGTGTATGCAATGCTTGGTAAGAACAAAATTTACAGGGGCAGCTAAGTGGTGCAGTGGATAGAGCACTGGCTCTGGATTCAGGAGGACCTGAGTTCAAATGAGGCCTTAGACACATAGCACTTACTAGCTGTGTGACCCTAGGCAAGTTACTTAACCCCATTGCCTAGCCCCCCTCCCCCAAAAAAGAACAAAGTTTAGATTTTATATTAGTGGAAGTGATGATTCTTTGATATTCCTTGGAAGTAGTGTGTTGTTTTTTCAATTGTATATATTTTTTTCTATTGTAAACTATTGAAAGACTGAAGATCTTTTGAATAACTCGTTTTTGTTTGTTGATTGTTTTGGAGGGTGATTGGGGTACGTATAGTAATACTTAGATCTCTTGGGGTTTTGTTCTTGACACCAGAAAGCTTAATTATTTGAGGCCATGAGACTTATTTGTACCATGACATTCTAATGAATATTTATATTCACCAGATATGGTAAAGAAATTATTAGTTTTACCTATACCAGAGAATATTACAAACCTCAGTGCATGATCAGTTCAAATACACTCCTTCATTTTTCTAGATCTGCAAAGCGATTGCTGTCTGTGTTGGTAGTAATTTCACAAGACATATTTAATCTTTTCAATTTTAGAAAAGCTTGGCTATTTTGGCCGCTCTGGAAATATGAGAATACCTTTGTAGGAGGCACATCTGGAATTCAATTCTCTCCCTTTTTTCCCCCTCTTTCCATCTCTGTCCCTCCTTCTTTCCCTCCCTCCTCCTCTTTTATTTCTTTGCCCCCACTCATCTTCCTTATTTCTCTTTCCCACTTTACTTTTCTTCCTTCTTTCTCATTTTCCTGACTTTTCTTTCTTTCTTTTAAATGTAAGGTGTATAGGGGAGGGAGGATGATCCCTCAACCCCAATTTAAATACCCTTATACTAGAATGAACAAAGGCTCCCACCAATGTTTTAGGGTCAAGTGTCTACATTTATGCAACCTCTGTAACTTCATGAAGTTGATTAGGGGACTCATCAAATTGATCAGGGATTCCTCCAATCAATCCCCCTTTCATAAATAGAATTGATTTATTGGGTAAATATGATAATTTTCCTATATTTAAGTTGAAACATCCTCTATGTCCCACCCCTTCTTCCAAGTTTCCTTTCCATAAAATATCATGTTAAAAGGCCAACAGAATTTCAAAAATTCTGAAAGTCTTCAGAATTCTGTGGTACCCCATTCATATTGGCCCATATGTAAGTTGATGATTCTTTTATTCTTTGAAAGCTTTGTTGTGTGCAATTTATAGTTGCCTTTCCTCCCTCTACCAAAACATTCATTCAACAAAAATGATATGAAATGGCTCTCTGGCCTTTTTTATATTTGCTGTTTATTTTTTATCTAGCTGCTGATTGGATATAAAATAATCTTAACTGAGTACATTATTCCATACTACTCATGAATTTTATGAACAAGGCTATGTTTTTCTAGAAAAACTCTAAACCCAGTCTGCTGTAGAAAGAAAGAGTTTAGAGACACATAATCTGCTTCATCAAGGGCTTGTATTGTGCCAAATGCTGTGTCTTTAGTGTTTTTCATAAATGATAAAGCTTCCATTTAGACTTTGCTGTAAAAATACAGGCAATGTTGGAGAATAAGCCTACAGAATGAGGCTTATGCTAAGGCAATAACAAGTCTTTGAAACTTTTTTGAGTTTAAAATTTTAAAGAATTGTTTAGCAGTGATGCACCAAAAATCTGATAGAAAAAATGAATTTCACAAAGACCAATGACTTTGGAATTATGTGATTCTTGAATTAAAAAGGAACTTAGCATTGTGATGCTGTTTGAATTTTGGAAGAAATTTAAGAAGCAACAAGAAATCTCACTTTGTCATTCTTTCCCCACCCCTAGTCTCAAGTAATTCCCTTCTACTTTTAAAGTTATTCTAATATAATTTAGGAAATATCTGTACACAGACGTAAACTATACAGCTGCTGTTAATTTGCAGCATCTTTAATACATGATAACTAGTCTCCACTGTAATATTTTCCAAGATGCAAATAAGATGTTTAGCAGTATTGCCAAATTAGCCCCAACAACATTAACTTCCCTCAGTATAAGTGTACTTATCATCCCATTTATAATATTGTTCCTAGGGAATAAGGTCCCCTTCCCCCAAATTTATATTGCTGTTTTGCCTAACATCATGTTTTTGTGGAACCAATTAAGATCATCAGGTCTCTGTACTTAGAGCTGGTGATATTCTCCAGTGGGAAGTAACTAGAACTGGAATGGGATCTAGTTTGAGAATCAAAAAATACAATTAAATATACCGTCTATTATACCTGACTTTAAGTTACCACCTGAACATGTCTGTCACCAGCTTGGGAAAGCCTTTATTTCTTGTGTATCACGTTTGTACTTTTCTGTATTTCGACTTATTATGCCATATACAGGCGATCAGGATTTTTCTTTGATAATTAATCGGCAATGGATTGATGACAGAAATGTCTGTTGTCCATCTAGTGTTCTCATGATACTTCTCAGAATTCATTTAATTGGATTGAAAGGTTGCAGTTTTCTAAGCAATTTCTTAAAAGATAAACCAGAGTTTTATATATCTCTTGACTCAGATGTAAAACACATTTAAAAAGGGAAGTCTTTTTTCCATTGTTTATGTGTTCCTCCCTCTTTGTTTTGGTTTTAAATTAGCTTCATTGTATTACTAGTTTCTAATATATTCGGTTTTTTAAAAACTTAGCTATAATGATATATTTGTTTTAATATATGTTCTTGTTTTAGCAGGTAAAAGAATCATAATTTAATTGTTATTAAATGAGCATTAGAAGTATTCACTAAACTATTAACTTGTAATATTTTAAAAATTCATTTTGCATGTCAGCTCTTCCATTAACATTTGGGATCTTTTTAAAGAAAGAAAAAAATATGTTCTTCACGTTTAACAAGTGCTTTGCTGAAAACCAAATTAATTAACTGACAATTTCCCTACACTCTTTCCCTTCCACAAGAATGAGGTAGCCACTGATGAATTTCCTAGCTTTTGCTGCAACTTTGAGGGCTGGTGGTTACTTAAAGTTTAACAAAACCACAATCACTGAATTTGGCAGCAGAGATGGGCCCTTTCACTCGTGCTACACGAACTTCATTTTGATTACTTCAGTTAACAAATCTTTATTAAGCTCCTGCTGTGTGCAAGGCTGTGGAGAGACAAGGAAAAAAGTGAATAGCCCCTGTCCTCAAGGAATTTACATTCATTCCAAATTCAAAGTACTCTGCTCTACTTTAGGATATTATTTGTGTTCTAGAAATGTGTTCTTGTTTTTTCTAAGAAAATTTTCCATTATTTATGATTATACTGTATGGATTTACATACCTTAAAATTGCCTGCAAGGATTTAGTCAAGATATTTTTGTGTGATAAATATCTATTTCTAGAACAGAATTCCTAGCTTTTTTTTTTTATGTCATAGACCTTTTTTGGCTGTCTGAGACCCCTTTTCAGAGGGATGCTTTTAAATGCATAAATTAGAATGCATAGAATTACAAAGGAAACAGTTACATTGAAATATGGTTTTCAAAATGTTTCTTAAAACAAGTTCCTGGACTCCATGTTAAGAATCCCTGTTTTATAAATAGATCCAATACTAAAAACAAATAAACGTAAAAACCTTGAGGTACTGTGTGACCAAATCCAGGAAATATGAACTGAAAACTGAAGCTCTCCACTCCCAGCCTCTTCAGGTCTTTGATTGGAGAGGTTGGTGGCGTTACCCTAACTGGCCTTAAATACTGACTCAAGTTTAATTACATGTTTTTTCTTTATCAGAGGTTACATGTTTAATGAATAATAGTGTATCTATTTTGTTTCATAAGTATTTAGTAAATTGCAATTTCTTCCTTTATAACAGTGGCCAGTTTTTATAATTTTGTAAAAATTATTAAAATTCTTTAAAATTTGTACTTGAATTGTAGTTACCAACCTCTCTTGTCCAAATCTTTTCAGAAAATATACATAGCTTTATTAAGAGGGAGGGGAGAATTCCCTTGTTCCCTAAATCTAGATTAAGGTCCACTGACTTGATTGATTCCCCGATTAATCTGTCCTCCTGACACCAGTTGTACCAAATGCAGTGGCTTGATGCTCTCTGCAGGTGGTTGAGGCGAACTCCATCAGCTCTTTTTCCCAAATACACTTGTGTATGCTGTCTATATTTAAAAGAAGCAGATCTTAAGGGATAAGCGAATGGAATTCCATGCACTACCAAGTATAAAGATCTTCGGAACTGGGCTATTGCCATTTCTTTAATGTGGCATGCAAACTTTTTCTTATCTAGTGTAGAGAGCTCTATCAGTTTACAATTTGGGAAAAGCAATAATATGAATTAAGGAGTTAGCCTTGATACACATTCATTAAAAAAAGAACCTTAAGTTTTAGGGGGGATAATTGTGGATCTTCTTCCCTGGAGATGGCCTTGTCAGTTGATGTCTTCCATAGCGGTGCTTTGCCAATTGTAAAGGGAAGAATGTCTCTCATATAAAAGGACCCTATAATTGTTCAGAAATTTAAAATGTAAATTTCATCAGACTGAAGAGTCCTCATGCTTCTCTGCTGCCAAATTTAGAGGATTACTATATTAAGAGAAATAAATGGGATTGCAGAAGAAAATGCCAGACTAACCACTCTGCATGGGTGCAGATCTGAAGTTATATTTTCTTCTCATCCTTCTTTTCACCAATTCTGGGGCTGTGTGATGCTTTTTTTTTGTTTTCATGGGCCTTTCCTCTTTCCCTGTCACTCCCTATATGGATAACTCTAAAACTCTTCCTCGCTCCCCTCCCCTCTTTATCCCTTCCCCAACTTTTGTATGTGCTTGTGGGTTTGAAACCCTGGGACATTTGTAGCCTCGTACAATAATAGCGCTCGACTTGTCCCTCCTGTTCCTCCAGGAAAGGAAGTTCTTCAAAGGCTTCTTTGGAAAAGTAAGTTTAATGCCCTGTTTGTGCTTGTTGTATAAGGAGTTACACCCCTGGTTTAGCACTGCATCTCTCTATATATATCATATATGCCAGTTTTACAAAACTTAGAGTAACTTTGGTGTCAGTATTTTACTACTCATTAATCAATCCAAGGATTGACTTGGACAGTGTGTGTGGACTAAAAAGTAGGTTTCAAGTAATGTTTTTAATACCTGAATGTCAGTTGATGTCCAAGATAATCAAACATTCCTAGTAGAGCCAAGGAAATGATTTTAAAGTTATGATCATTCATCAAGACTAGTTGTCAAAGGATCTTGTTGAGGGGCTTGAGCTAGAATGACCCCCAGTATCCCTTCCAGGTCTAAATTTATGATCCTCTGTTCCTGCCCACAGTATCGTTCATAAGGTAACAAAACGAGAGCTTCTGTTTAATGTTCAGTATTGGAAAAGAAGCAAAGAAGAAAGTTCAAATTCAAGTGAAAATGAACTCTCTTCCAGATTTTGTCACCATAAATTCAAAACTACTTCCTTTAAACCACATTCAGCCAAAATTAAAATAAAGTATAGAATTCTGGGAGTTCAGAAGCATTGTCTCCAGGAAGCCTACCAATGTTTTAACATTGTTACCCAAGGAAAATAAGTGTTTAATCATGGCTCATCATGAAGCCTGTCATTTATATTATGTCTTTTATGAGGACCACTCCAAAGACATAACTTTGTAATACTCATTCTTCCTTGTAAGGACTGAGAGTATGTAATCAGTCAACAGATTCATTTAGAGAAGAATACCATTCCATAGCTTGTGGTAAGTTTCTACTATTTTATTTACAAGACTTTCATCTTTTACTTTTGCCAGAGTAGAGCTGAGTAGATCATAGAACATTTCAGAAAAAAATGTGTCATTTGATCTGAATATAAATTTCTAGAATCATTTTAATATGTTCATAAACTGCTTCAGTTTTGAAGAAAACATTAAGTTGAGATCTCTTTTCCCAATCAAGAAGACATCTAATCATCACTTTATTTTAAAATGTTTTTGACCTAGTTGAGGTCACTTACAGTGGCTTAATTGTAATTGATTTTAAGAAATTTGACGGGTGATACAGTTCAATTTTTGCTGGCATTTTGAAATGAAAGGTCAAATAGTCTTTGCATGTCATGGGGAAATTTTTAGCAAGTAGCTTGACTATCAGTCATCTTAACTGTTCCTTAGTTCATGAGAAGTATGAATGGGGCAGCTAGGTGGTACAGTGGAGAGAGTGCCAGGCTTGGAGTCAGAAAGACTCGTCTTCCTTAAAGTCACACACCTGCTAGCTGTGTGACCCTGAGCAAGTCACTTAGTTTGCCTCAGTTTCCTCATCTATAAAATGAGCTTGAGAAGGAAATGGCAAACCACTCCAGTATCTTTGCCAAGAAAACTCCAAATAGGATCATGAAGCGTTGGACAAGACTGAAAGGTGACTGTACCAACTATACCAGTAACAGCAGAGTTTCATGACACCCATGTTTGGACGGGATCTGATACATATGACATTTTTTTTGATTGAGCAAACATCGTATTTGGTCCCTGTGAAGTCCAGGTCCAGGATGATCGACTCTAAACAGACAGACTTAGCCCTCACGGACCTTCCATTCTATTGGAAGATAAAACACATAAACCCAATGGTAAATAAAGGGTTATAGAAAGCTTTTCCAGCTTTTCAATATTCTTTTCAAAATGCATTTCCTAAAAGCAGTACCACATTGCCACAGTACACGATTTCCCACTTCTAATTTCTTACACTTAGCTTCAAATAAAATTGGATGGCATAGTTAAGAATAGGGATTACGTTTACATTGGTATTTCCATCATTCAGCCAACAAACATTAATGAAACCCTTACTATATGCCAAGCACCATGCTCTGCAGTGGGAATACAAAGAAAAGCACACATTCTAATGGGGGAGAAAACATGTAACATGTAAATAATTAAGCACATAGTAAATAGAGGAAGTGGAAGGTAATCTAAAAGAAGGCATTAGGAAGTGGGGGGACCTGACAAGTCCTCCTGCAGAAGGTGGACCTTGAATTGTATCTTGAAGACAGAAATTCCAAAAGCAAAAGTCAGAGCATTCCAGGCATGGGGGAAAGGCATGGAGATGGCATGTTGTGTTTGAGGAACTGCAAAGAGATCAGTGTGCTGGATCATAGAGTACACTGAAGAATATGTAAGGTGTGAGAAGACTAGAAAGGTAGGAAGAGGCTAGGTTAGGAAGAGCTTTAAATATCAAACAAATGATTTTATATTTGATCCTACAGGATCAATGAAATCAAATATGTGAATGTTCTTTATGTTCTGCAAATCACTTAACAAATGTAAACAATTGTTATTCTCTTTATAAATTACAAAGATGCAGTAAGTGATGCAGTGGATAGAGCACTGGACTTGGAATCAGGAAGATTTATCTTTGTGAGTTCAAATCTGGCCTCAGATACTTCCTAGCTGTGTGATCCTGGGCAAGTCATTTAACCCTCTTTGCCTCAGTTTCTCATCTGTAATATGAACTGGAGAAGAAAATGGCAAACCACCCAAGTATCTTTGCCCACAGAACCCCCAATGGGGTCACAAAGAGTCGAACACAACTGAAACAATTCAACAAAAAAAATCATAATTAAATATATAATATATTAAAGTATTGTATTGCAAGTTTTTATTGCATTGTACTACCTGCTCACATTTTGTGACTAGAAAAGGGGCAGGCACAGATGAAACTATGTCTGTATCACTTCTATAAAGTTAATTTGCAAACATTTTTTATAAAGTAAGAATCAGAAAGTACATTTCAACCACACAGATTTCCAGGAACTCACTTTCTAAACTTTTTTACGTTAAAGTTAAATGTCATTTTTCTAAAAAATGTTTATCTCTAATAAAAGTGCCTCTCCCAGCAGTTAAATTAATCATGCTGATATTTACTAGGTAGAGCTATTTACAATTTGGCTAAAATGTTAGAGTACTGCTCTTGAGGATGTTTTTAGCAGAACTTTTCCAAAAGAAATTCTTGGGGCAGCTAGGTGGCACAGTGAGTAGAGCACTCCCTGGATTCAGGAGGACCTGAGTTGAAATCTCGCCTCAGGCACGTAACACTTACTAGCTGTGTGACCCTGGGCAATTCACTTAACCCTGTTGCCTAGCCAAAATAAATAAATAAATAAATGAAATTCTCATAATTTTTTGGGAAAAAATCATGAATTTTTCAAGGAGTCTTTTTTCCCCTGCTCTAGTAAATAAGTGGATCTTCATTTTATGACAAAGTATGATTTTAAAAGAAAGGTTTTCATCCTGAGCTTTTTAAACCCTTAATTAATCATCATAGCTAAGAAGTCGACTGCTGAGAAAGAACACCCAAATTCTAAAGATCCTTGGATCACTTGTGTATTGATGAGAGCTGACAATGAACAGGGCTTTATAATATATGCTAACAATGGCCAAATTGCATTAATTATAGGAACTGCCCCTCCTAATAGTTCAGAAATTATAATCTGAAGGTATTAAAATGAGAAGGGAAACAGATACTTACAAAGACATAGCAAACACCATTTTGTAAATAGGAATGAATTACAAGTTTTGAACTGTTCATCCTGATCCTGACTTACTTTTGCCAGGAGTCCCAGCCCTGCCTCTTCTCTCCTGAGCAGCCTCCTGGCCCTACCTAGTCCTGCTTTCTCTTGTTCCTAAGGATAACATTGATATTATAAGTTTCAGCAGCGTGGCATAAATGAATTTAGGTTTTATTATAGAGCTGTGATATGCTAAGTATTCCTCTATCTGTGATAAGATTATACTTCTAAGCCTATTTCAGGAGTTGAGAGAATTCCAAATCAAAGGCTCAAAGAATTATTTGCTTGAATTTTTTCTCTTTCTTTGTATGCCTAGTACTTAGCACAGTGCATGGCACACCATAGGCACTTAATAAATGTTTAGTGACTAACTGATTCCAAGCCTTCTATGAGCCATCCTAGTAAGATTTTGCTGAATATGTCATTTAGCCATACTACCTATAAGTATCAGCAGTGCCATTCCTAATCTTGGCCTTCTGGAGATTATCATATGCCAGTAAATCTGACAACCTAAGCTAGACGCATGCACATATGCACAAACGTGCCGTCACACTCGCACAAACACAAATTATTGCAAAACAGGCACATGGTGCACTTAACTTAAAATATATTTTCAATAAATTTTGTTGTTTATTTGAACACTTCAGCTAAAATCCTACTCTGATTCCCTATTGGTCTCAGACCCTTCCTAGCTGTGTAACCCTGGGCAAGTCATCTAACCAGTTTGCCTCAGTTTCCATATCTGTAAAATGGAGATAATGATAGCACCTACCTCCCAGAGTTATTGTGAGGATCAAATGAGATAATAATTATGAAGCACTTAGCACAGTGCCTGACACATAGGAGGCATTATACAAATGTTAGCTATTACCTTTTATTACTGTGGCACAGAGTGACACTGGGCACTCCAAGGCCATGTCAGTACAGCACAGACTAAAAAATGCCTTGAAAGAGAAATGCTTGTTGTCTGAGGAGTGATCTGACCAACTTTGGAGAGGCCCATCACCAAGTTGGCATCAAAAGGATAAACTTTGCAGCCACAGCAACTCTCAAAGACCACCTGCTATGTTACAGAACAGTTGTGTTCTACATTTTTACTTTCTCCATACCAGTGCAATCACAGATGTTGTAGTACTGGAATAGCTGAATCATAACATTCTCTAAGTATCATTTCTATCTTGTGGGAAGGAACAGGAAAAAGAAATTCTTTGTTCCAGGTCACAGTTTTTTAAACTTTATTTTATTTTTAATTTATGGAATAAAACAAGCATTTCTGTAACACACAGTGTTTTAAACCCACCTACCTGTGTAACTTCTGCATTGAAAAATATTTATTCCTAACTTCCTTAACAATTTAGGACAAAGTCAACGGTAAAGAGCTAAGTCTTCCAGCTACTTTATTT